CACCATTGACTCTCCCTATTATACTCCAACCAAGCAAAGTTCTCCTTGCATAAGGCTCGTCATCTTTCCCAGGAATTAACTCTCTTGGTTTGATGGCACGGATACAATTTAAGCCAATCAGGAGCCCAACTTCAACACTTCTATCGTATGGCATCAATTCGTTTGCTACTCTCTGTAAATGAGGCCACCCTTCTACACTTTCTGGCCTTGGAATTTGATCATGTCTGGCTGGTATATTCTTCCTTGAATAAGTGACTGGAAGTGCAATCTCTATCTTTTCATTTTTACCACATACTATTAGTCCTCTAGTCTTTGTACTTTCAATTGTTTCTTCGCCTGTCACTGTTGTTAACTTTAGGTGTACCTTGGAGCCTAGAATGTTTAGCTCATTCATGGTGGATTCTTTAATAAAACATGCATCTGACTGTTCATCCAATAATGCATAAACCAATACCTTTTTACGTATGTTACTTTCATGATGTATCCATACTGGTACTATCATGGAATGCATCATATCCTCTGATTTTCTCAATATCTTTATTTTATTGGAAACTGCACTATCTTTGAGTTCCTCATTAACTTTGCTGGAGTTTACCTTGTCTTCATTTATATTAGTTTCATTTGACAATGTTACTGTATTTCCAGCCTCTTGTTCCTTATACATTTTGAGTAAGGCTTCCCTTTCTTTTATTCTTTCAAGTATAGCCTCATGAAGAGATGTTGGATGACGTCTCTTACATACTGTGCATATATTCTTTCTTTTGCAGTTTTTAACAATATGGCCATGTTTTAAACAACCCCTACAAAGAAATGATTTTTGGACATATTCAAATTTTGCCTTATTATCAAGTCCATTAAACCCTTTACATTTATCAAGTTCATGATCAGCCTTGCAAAAATTACAATATGGTTTGTCTGGACTTTGTCCCCTGTCATCTCTATGTACCTTTGTTTCTTTTACACCTGTTGAGTTAGTCACAAACCTTTTTGTCCCAGACTTGTTTAATTCTGGTTTACCCTTCTTACTACTCATTGAAACATTGATATTATGACTCTGATTCCTTGTCATTACTGCATTTTGTGATGAGATTGGATGGCGAGCTTTCGTTGCCTCCACTTCTATAAATTCACAAAAAACTGAAAATGGAGGGTAACCTGCATCACTTGCGGACCATTTGTAAACTACAGAATTCCATCTATCTATAAGAGCTGGGTATAACTTCTGTAACATTTTACCATTTTCTTGAGGATCATTTAAAATATTAAGGTAGTCTGTTGTTCTCATTACTGTTAAGCAATTCTTTAAGAAGTCTGACAATTCCTGTAGTGCATGACCATCCTTATTTGAAATCTTTGGCCATTCATTTAATTTACTTCTAAAAGCATTTGCCACAATAAACTTATTTCCAAACCTATCCATTAATATACCTTTAGCCTCAAGATAAGCTTCTTCTTTGGGGATACGAAGAAGTCCTTTAATGGCAGCCTTAGCTTCCCCACTTGTATAGTGACCTAGATAGAAAAGTTTCTCTGCAGGTTCTGTAACTCTTGATTCTATAAAAATCTCAAAGGTTTGAAGCCAGGTTGGAAACTCCAATAAATCTCCACTGAAAATTTCTGGTTCTAGTTTAGGCAATTCACTTTTACTTTTAGATGATAAAATATTTAATACATCTTTGAGTACATTAAGGTCTATAGGTTGACTTGATCTACCTTGCCCAAATGATGCATTCAAATCTTCAAACTCTCTTTTTGGCTCAAAACTCTTTGTTTGTAGCTTAAGCTCTGGACTTGCTTTTAAGAAGGTATTCTCTAATTTAGACACCTCTATCTCTAATTCACCCATACCTGATACATCATTAGCAGCTGTTTCTTGTTTTGGTAAAGTAGGATTTACTTTCTCAACCTCTGTCAATTTATCAATAGATTCAAAATATTTGTGAAGATGAAGTTCTTTACTATCATCTAGATCTTTACTTTGAGACAATTCTAGCTGATTTTCTTCTAGACTGGCTTTCTCTACTTCTTTTTGAGATGGAAACCTATTTCTCATAAACAGAAACCTTTTGTATTCATATTCTTTTTCTTTCATGATCCTCTGTTGATTTATCACGAACATCTTATACTCTGTTTCCTTTTTATGAAGCTGAAGCTCAATTTGTAGCTTAGCTAATTCTGCTTGTATTCTTTCATTCTGTGTAACATTATGCATAGATCTCTTTGTTGAATGGGAGTGCTTTGATGATCTACTTTGTTGTGAATTTACTGAATTTATTTCTTGTTTTAACTCATGCATTTTACTCTCAATTTTTTGCATACAATTATTGTGCTCCTCAGTCTCAAACTTTAACTCTTGTAACAATTCATCCTCAGAACTTGGATCTACTTCCATTAACAAGTTAAAGGCATTTACAACTTCTTTAAACTGTGACTCTTCTGCCTTTCTATGAACATTAAGTTGATCCAAGCATACTACACTATCAAGACTTGGTAATATCTC